TCGGAAGCACAAGATTTGGCGATCCGCGGGGGTTTAAAAGGGCATGCCTGTACCTCAACAACGCCGAGGCAGTCTTACCCCGCCGGTTGACATTTGTACGGTGCAAAACCCACGCACAATAAAGGTCCATTGTACAATCTTCATGTCCGGTTTGGCAACCCTCACTCTCTTTAGGCCTTGTGCTTTGAGGAAGTGTTTAATTATCATACGTTCCGGACTTGTGGTGATGATCTTCAAACGGTCTGGATCAATCTACGCCCGTGCCTGTCGGTCTCGTGATTTTCCCATTTTGTGTTTTTGTCTTCTTCATCCAGAAGATGAAAGATTAGGCTACCAGCAATGCGATTTACATCCAAATCCTTCATCGAAATGGCCGGATACCAAAACTGGGTTCGTGGTTCCGCGTGAATCTCAAGTCACCTCATATTGGCGTCTTGTCTGCTCTAAATTGTCTGAAGCACGTTAAACGCGTTGACTTGGAGCTTGAGCGTTATAACGTTGGGAACTAATGACATCCAGAATAATCCGCTGAAGAGAGAACAGGATTAAAAATCTACTTTCGAAAACTACATGGTATCGTAACTTGAACCAGGTGACTCGCCTGAGGGTGGCGCCCATCGATCTATCGTTACGTAAATGAGCAAACAAACCTGGGAAAATGCTTCTTGTCCCCACAACCCAGTGTTGAGACATGACTAACCGGGGAAGGCATATAGGTCCTAGACAATCATTCCATTCCTCCCGGTCCTCCTCAGCAATACTTACTCAGCCTTCGACCTGGCTCTACGTACTTAAACTCTTGGCACAATGATCAGTTCACACTATTCGGGCGCAATTCAGATTTCTTGGTCAACCCGCGTCGGGTAAAACTGTTGTACATAACAGTTCGACTGTAGCGTCCGAAGTTATCCGTCGTGTGCTCCAAAGCAAGGTGAAGCAGGCGCGGTGACTTGCTCGGGAGTTAGTTTATAATGAATGTGGACTTTCGCTACATTTACCGCACGCTCTCCTCCTCTCCCACCCGAACCCGGCGTCAAGGCAAAGTCAAGAAGACCGGAGGCGGGGGGCTGAAGATGGATGGCGCGGCCGAGCCCGCACCTTGGCGTTCCAATCCACACCCCCTAGTTCAAACAACTGACTATGATTTTATCCAACAACAACAGAAGATGAGGATGGTTATGCAGCCATACTCACGACCTGTATACACCACGGGAAGGCAAGTTCATATACCCGCAGGTGTCGGAGAACTACCGGCGCATACCAGGCTGCGGGGGCCACGGTTAGCTGATACTGGCATAACAGAGGCTTGTAGAACTTACAGTAGATGTGCTAACTCATGAAATGTCAACCAAAATTTCGAAATGCGTTCTCGTTTCGAAAAGATAAATTTAGTAGTGTTGTAAAACTACTCATGATGCAGCATAAATCTATAATGATCCAGTTACCTCAGGGTGTCAGCTTTCGAAAGAACTTATTTTCGGCTGCATGCAAGATCTATACTCTGCAAAAAATGACTGCTTAAGTAGTATGCAATTTTCTCATTGATTTTCGATGCCCTTGAAAATTCAATTGTATTTCATGGAAAACATGCATTAAAATAGTCATTCTTTTACTTATTCGGTAAAAAATCACGTCTTCTCCCAATTGCATACTCAAAAGAAGAGTATAATTCGGTTTTACAAAGGTTTCTAATTGTGAGATTTAATAATACCGTTAAATGCCGTTCATGAAACGTCATTTATCTGCATTTACGAATGTGGTTTGTAAAGTTAACAATATTGCTCAAATCCACTGCTTAATTTTATGAACCTCATGTGGCCTCCTCTTAACACCGTAGAGAAATGCATGGTTTTCCGTACACGGAAAACATACAGTTTGTAGTTTTGACACCCTGAATACAAGTGCAACAGCAGGTCGGGTTCAAAATTATTCGGGAATGGGAAAAGTTTTTTAAAACTGAATTATCCTCTTCTTTTGAGTATGAAATTGGGAGAAGACGTGATTTCCTACCGAATAAGTAAAAGAATGAATATTTTTATGCATGTTTTCCATGAAATATAATTGAATTTTCAAGGGCATCGAAAATCAATGAGAAAATTGCATACTACTTAAGCAGTCATTTTTTGCAGAGTATAGATCTTGCATGCAGCCGAAAATAAGTTCTTTCGAAAGCCGACACCCTAAGGTAACTGAATCATTATAGATTTATGTTGCATCATGATTAGTTTTACAACACTATTTAATTTATCTTTTCAAAACGAGAACGCATTTCGAAATTTTGGTTGACATTTCATGAGTTAGCACATCTACTGTAAGTCCCAGAAGGGTGACACGTGGTCCTGCATTTGCCTCGGCCGTCTCTCAGAAGTGCCGGGACATAGTCCCCGGCTTTCTCCATTGTCACACTGGGCCTGACTATGACTGCCCCAAAATGGAGCGCGCCAAGTCGTCATATTCCACGAAACCCACGGACAATCTTATAATTTCTTAACTGATGCTGAGATTCTTTGATTTACATACCGTCTGCAACAAGACGGAGGGCTTCAGACAGGAAAACTGGCACTAAACCAAGGCTGACTCATTGGAATTGCGAAATTTGCCAGTGCCCCGCGCAAAAAGAACTTCTCGAGTCATGCCACGAAGGTCACCAGGTATTAGCATCCACACAAGCGGGCGTACATCCCACGCCTCCAAGAGACAAGTACCCCAGTCGCGAGGCTGTTTACCTTCCCCTTGCGTGTCCCCCACCTGCAGGTACAACGGCAGTGCAGATAATCTCGGGATAAGACACAGTATGCCCACAGACTTGACTACCCTGCCCAAGCACGTGGGTCGCTCCAGCCAGAATGCCACAGAAGCATTCGCCACTACCTCCACGACACCCAAGCCAGTTATGTCGGTCCCGCCCACACCCTATCAGCAACTCTTACTCGCAAGCCACTAAAACTCAGCAACTTTGGATGTCTGACCATAGCTACATGAAGGGCCCGCCCGGACGAGTTCTATAAGGACATACCGCCGAGCGCACCGTATGCAATCGAGGCTCGGGTGTCAAGGTCCAAGTGGACGCTTGGGCGGTTTATTTTAGTAGATCCCACACTCCTAATCACTCCTGAAATGACACTGTCCAAACTGAGCGTAGACTATGCTAATTTAGTTGGAGTGCGGTGTGGTTAATTATGAATAGAAGGTCGTCCCCAGGGCTGCATCAAGATGTCCACGAAGGTTCGAATCACTCCTAGGCTGGAGTGGTCTGACAAAACTCGCTCTACCTCACGGCTCGGTATCACGGAACCGGCAGACAAGCGTGATGATAAACGAATATGCCTTCGACCGGTAAGTCAATGGTGGGTTGGACTTCTCTCGAAAGGAGCAGGTGCATTGTGTGCCGGAAAGTACCAGGTGGACTTGAAAATGGCACGTAATCTCAATTGGCACATGGCAAGGTGCTGATTTCTGGCTGGGCACCTCTCCAGTCACTAGTGCAAATCGCACTCAGAAAGGGGCATGTCACTTCCCTCTGAGTTTCGGCGCCTGCAAGTGCTGGAAAGGACAAACTAAAAATTAATTTGGCATACCCACTACTCAGTTAACTGCGTCTCCTTTTAGGTTGATGGTAGGACGTGAATAAGTATCCCTTTCACCCTACTCCAGGAGGAACTAGAGTTAAAGTTGGGACACAGAAATAGGTGCTCCTCCGGACAGGTACTTATCCCCGTGTCCAACTACGTCCAGACCTGAGTGAAAGGCATACTTCAGTTTTGGAAAGTTAATGTCATGAAACATTTGAAACGCTCGCAGGTTCATTGGTACTACTCTCGAGTGATAGCGCACAGCACGAAGATCAGAAATCCATGGAAGATACGCAAGTTCCACTCGAAAGTGGGAGGAATTCATTAAGTCCGCAAGGTTGGAACGCGAAACTTGAACTGGGCGCGCGCTGCTGGAGGATTACTAGGACGAATTTATGAAACCAGTGAAGGTAAATGCCGAAGCACGTCTTATTTGGAAGGGCACTCAGCCAAGAAATCACTTGGCACCATCCTGTCGTAACAAGTTATAAATCCAAGTTAATGTTTGGCTCTGAGTAGCACTGCAACTTCATCAAAAACGTCTCCCGAGTTCGAACGCAGTTACCCTGGTGCGTCGGCCCGGGGGAGACGCCGCCTAACGCGCAGACCGGCCTATTGCCTCGATGTAGATCGCAAGCATCGTAGAGAACGGTCTGACAAAAGGGAGACGGTCGAGTGAGCTAGAAAATGCACTATTACGCAAACAACGGCGTTGGAGACGGGGGGGGGGGAAGAGGACGGTTGGCAGAAAGAGATAATGAACACAGAGGCAGAGAGAATGAGAGAACAAGAAGTAGCGTTGTGAAAAATGCAGTGTCTGAATTGACCGGCGAGAAAGAGGCGAGGTGACAATGATGGTGATGATGACGATAAAGTAAACATCCAATGGAGTTTGTGGAGCACACCACTGCAAATCCGCTCAGGAAAGTCCGGGAGCAGTAAGTGGCAAGACAGTTGGCGAGGAACCAGGAAGCAAGTAGCAGTGACGATATTTCCGACAGATGCACTCCGGTCAACCGCTTCTACCTAGAAACAGAGAAAAAATGAAACGTCAGTTAGTCCCCGAAGAGGACAAAAGTAAGAGAGTGGAAACAAGGGTGCATCAACGCTGACTGGTCGCTGTCCAAGGTTGATCGGAAAATCTTGGGGTGAAAGTTGGCGACCTAGACTGGATCATCATCAGTCAACTGACAACGTCGGCAAGTTCCAGATAAGAGGAAATGAAATCCTTGCGTTTATGGCCCATTTTAACAAAAATTTCCCGCTTCTGTCAGGCTACGGTACTCAGATTATTTGCCGCTGGACATTCTCTCTCTCTCTCCTTCTCTCTCTCTCTCCAAATATCAATTTAGTCGTGATCTACCTGAAGTGCCGACTCAGCGACGAAGAGTATACACTCAACCTTACGTGGGGAGCCCACAGCACATATTAAAGAATTTCTAAATCGGACTTGTTTCTCGATGGGGAGCGATGTTGCAGAAACAGTGGAATACCTCCTGTGTATTCTTCGCCCTCCTCATCGTCAGTACAGGTCTCGTTTCGTCCGTGTTCACTGCCACGCCTTTCGCGACGGAAGGACGTTCGTTGGTGGCCAGGCCGCGCCTTGCCGGCCATTGCGTCGTCCAGCACAGCACAGCTCCCCTCCGTTCTCTCCAGCCGGCCAGCGTCATTTTCAGCCCTATTCTCGACCTGGATATCGCTCTTGCTGAACTCCGTCTCCCCTTGCTTCCGTTTCTCCGCTTCGTGCTCCTGCGCCTCTTCCCCCTCCTCCTCGTTCTCCTCTTCGATGAGGGAGTCCTGCTCCACGACAGGAGCTTCCGACCCATTTGCCTGGTTCGAATCCTGCTCGTCTATTTCAGGGACTGCCCCATGTGGGTGCGATGTCCCGTCAAGTTCGGAAACTGCTACCTCCACTTCCTCATCCTCCTCCTCTTCGCAAACATCGGCCTGCGGTGTATTGGCCCCAAAGTCGTATTCTTCCTCTTCCTCCTCCTCTGTCTGCTCCTCCACCTTTGTCGGCTGGTGCAGCGGAGAGCAGACGTTGGCAGGTCGGGAGAGAACCGAGGTTTCGGAGACGACGGCGGTGCAGCATCCACGACCGCGCTGGAGGTCCTTACCGGCGGTGGAGACATGTTGACGTTTCGGGGAAGTAGGACGCGCACTTTCGGAGACCGCGGTGGTGGACGAGGAGGGGGACGGCGGCTGTGAGGGAATTGCGTAAATAGTAAGGCTGTGCTCCGTGTGGCAATGAGAGACCAACTCCCAGGCGCTTGAAAAGGTGTCGCCACAGTATGCACAATCAAGGCAGTCTGGTTCGCCGTCTAAAGGAACAGGAGAAAAAAAATCCGGTGGTCAACAGGGCTATCGTCAGAGGGAAAAGACGCGGGAATAGGACAGAGTGCAACCAGCATCGTCAGCACGGCCAGTTCAGTCTGACCCTGGGTCAAAACAGCTTCTAGACTAACTGCCAAAAAGAGGTTGGCGCGTCGAGTTAAAGAAGTGCGCATTAAGGACCGGCTGTAAATGGCAGTTAGACGTTGCGTCTCGCGCAGTGGTTCCTACCTACAGAGAGGACTATGGTCTCCATCCTAGCAATTATACCACGTTAAAGGCAAAAACGTCACAGAGCGCACTTACTCCTTTTGCATCGACAGGTCAAGCCATTTTCCTTGTTGATTGAACAGCCGGCCATCTTGTGAGCAATCAGAACGTCAACGCTTTCGAACAGATGGCGACACTGACCACAGATAAGAATGTCTTCGGAGTAGAGATGACAGCGTTGCTGCTGTCCCTGTTGTTGTGGTTCACCTCCGGCTGGATGCGCTAAAAGGAAAATGGCAGGTCAGCAAATGTTGTCTCCAACACCATGAAAACAGAAAACTGACACACATCAAGGTCATTATACACTCATACAAACATGTAGATTTGTGGGGATAAAACGAGTTTAAATCCTACGCCTTACTAGCTGCCAGCGGGAATCGCGTCTTCAGAATAATTCAAGCACGATCACAAAGACAAGGATGCAATGTGAAACTCAACAGGCTGTAATTTTTAGTCCGGAATCACAGTGGAATCAACATGAAACTGAAGAGGCATCAAGCTGTCGCCCTAACGATACGAAGGAAGGCAGACAGGCATGCTGTCTATCAAAGGCGGAAATTCTTCCCGACCCTCTGTAAAAACCGCAATCAACGAAAAATGACTACTTAAGTAGCGTATATTACCTACATAAACTTTTGATGGCTTTAAAAATTCAAACGTATTTTATAGAAAACATGCACAAAACATGCTTCTACTAATTTGGTAGCAAATCACGTCGTCTTTACACTTTATGCCCGAAGAAAGGACATCGTTCGGTCTTTAAAAAGGTTCTAATTACTGATATTTCACACGATCGTACAATGTCCGCTCATACAGCATCGTATCTGTCCGTTTACCAGTGCTCCTCATGAAGTATGCAACGTAGTCCGCATCCACTGCAGAAGTATATGAAATCTACATGGGATATCTTTAAAGGTATCGTGAAATATGCAATTTTCTCCAAGCGGAAAACATACACCTTGTAGACTGAAATCGCTAAACGCTGATGTAACGGCTGATATGGCTCAAAATTAACCAAAAAATGGAAAACGGTAATAATCGGGAGATGGCACCCAAAAAATCCGTTAACTAGAAATAATACCTTTAACAGTGGACTCAAACGCCTTCTAGCAATAGCAGCGGTTGCAGGCCTACTTTCACGTAATACTTGGACTTTCCCCGACGGCCTAACATGGGCTGGCCGAACGAACATCGCAGGAGGTTACATGGACGATGGTCGCTGTTACCCAACCTTCCCCATCGTTACAAACGCACACCTGAATTCGCATTATGGCGGTTTATTACAAAACAAAATCACTTTTAAATAGGATAAGTCTGCACAACATGGGACAGGAACAGTTCCCAGGCAACAGTCAAACATATGGCATTGAGCCCAAACCAAAGACGGTACTGTACTTCGTCTATGTGAGCCCACACAGCTCGACCACATGCAGGGCCTCCCTCGTGGAGTTTCCTTTCCAGTCTACTCCAGTATGCCTCAATGGCATTGGTGTGCCGTCCGGTGGTAGGGTCCTTGAAGTTCTTTGAATGGTTAACAGAGAAATGTAGACAACCTTCTGAGGGGAGACGATTATACGCCTTCCACTCGTCCATTATCACTATACTGCTTTGTCGACCCATTTGTAATAACGGAACGGAGAGCGAGCAAACTTCGATCATTCACATGTTCAAATAAGCCTTTCCGTCGGCCAGTATCGTATATCCCGACCAGCCACCACCCATAAAACCTCTATTACCACCTGCCCCGTAAGACAGGCTGCTTTGGTTAGGCGGTTTTTTTGGGTGCCATCTCCCGATTGTTACCTGGAAAACTTCTTCAAAAACGAAAGGTACTCTTTTTTCGAGTACAACAGGTAAAAACGAAGTGATTTGTTAACAAATGAACAAACGAAAGCATATTTTGTGTTTGTTTTCTATAAAACTTATTCGAATTTACAAGGTCATCGAAAATCAGTGGGAAAGATGCACACTACTTAATCAGTTTTTATTGAGAAAATCGAAAAGAAGTGAATCCGAAAGCCCACATCCTGGCAAGTCCCAAATGTCATAGGATTGGGCCTCATGCTAATCAATCTTGAAATCCCACCCCAGCAATTCTTTCTAGCCGAAAACGCATTCCAGAATCTCGGGTAACATTTCATGCGATTGGTTAGTGATTGCACCCGTTTAAATAAATAAATAAAATAATTTTACTAAAGACCCAAACGGTATGTCGCATTTATGATGTTTGCGTGCCGGTTGCAATGCTTACCGATCAACAAATACTTTGCATCGAAAAACGAGCCTCGGCCTTGGTTAGCAAACGGCATTTAAGCGATAGCAGAGAAACTTGCCGACAATTTCAGGCATTTTTCGACGAAATGTCATTCTCTTTTTAACAAATTTTGTGAAATAAGCCACTTGTCATGAAAATAGCACAGTAACTCCACTGTTTTGTCTTCGTGAGATATGGTTGAACACTAAAACTCATTCTAACTAATCACACATTTTTTATTTTGGTACTTTCGAAAAGACCAAAAACGCTCAATAAACGGCAGGGGTCGAGGAGTCGCAATTTTTGTCAAGCAGGCGTTAAAAATAGACCTCGCTACCTGGCTCCGATCGTTCAGTTTCAGTCGGTCTTTCAAAAATCACTCCAATTCCAAGAGGGTGTGAGTCGGGTAGCAACGATCACTTATAAAATTTTTTCGAGATTTACAATGCAGTGAGATTAGACTGTCGTATCGTTTAATGCTGACATTTTCTATGCTTTCTCGCACTTAACCATGCTAGTCATGGTGACAGGACGCTTTTGCGGGAAATTTTGAAGTGGCTTTAAGATAAGGCTTAAGGTTTCTCTCTAGGTCTCCTTCATAATCTGGCAGTTCAACCGTGGCAAACAACGAGGTTCACCAGTGCCCCGGGAGGCGGACTTGAGATTACTTACGACAAAGCGAACTTTATACGCATCTACCTCACTTGCCTTATTTAATTCCCGAGGAAATTAATGCGCTAACTTGGAGTGAATCTTTCTGAACACACGGGGAAAGCTGGGGGACCCATTAATGAGCCGAACCCCTCGTAGCTGCGTCAAGCGGCGGCACAAAGTCGGCGAAACACGCGTGTCTGGGCTTCTAACTAATACCTGAGTTGTTAGTACGGTAAGTAATTACACAATCTACCTCACCCTCTACACACCTTCCAGCTACCGATGGCAAAGTCAACACGACCAGCGGAGGCATAAACACAGATATTGTTAAACAGCCCCTATACCCAAGTCACGCGACTTGCTACCTACATCACATATGACAGTTTTTAATCAGAGGAGCCTAGGGCTCACTGCAGGTGAGTGTCACAAGGGCCACGTTCAGTAATTAGTGTAGATTGACGCTCAGTTCTGAGCAGGACTGGTATCTCGGTAACAATTTCGGATACGACATTTGGCGCATCATGGCAACTTAGGGCGTCTGATTTCCTACGGTACGAAATGTGTTGATTTGCATGAGGAAGGATATCCCACAGTTACTTTTATTCTACATGTAAGCTGGATGTACTCATACATGCTAACCTTTCCTCTCCAAACTTCCGCATCTCGTTCGGGCAAATGCGGACAAAAAAGCAATTGTAAAGGCGCTATCCGACAGCAAAATACTATGCGGAAAACTTTGCCATCATCGTTAACTATAGGCGACGCATCCTGTGTGCGGTGCCGGTTAGGTGGAGGCTCTGCACTACGTCAATCATCTTCAGTGAGAGGGAAGAGGGCGAGATTGACCCAGCTCGCAGCCAACTTATGAGATTGCCACAATAAACAAAATGTGCCTTGAAACTCCCACGACGCGTTATCAGTGGCAACCAGCTGACGAAATAACTCGATCCTCCCTAGGGACGGAAGTCAGACCGCAATGGCTCCTTAATGTTGCCCTTGCGGCACTGCTAGCTTCTGTGAGATCCGAAACCGTTATCTTCCCTTGAAGTCTGACAAGTATGGAGTTAGGGATAGTGTCGTGGGTGGCATGTATCAACGGGTTGTTTAATCTTGTTAACATTCGCGCCCGAGCTAATCTCTAGTTGTCGCTGCGTCTCGACACTAGAACACAGTGGGTAGATGCATCAGAAGTAGATTCACGCGTAAATCCCCACTGGCCCTCATCCGGGACAATGACGGTCAAAAATCAAATCAAAAGTCCGCTAAAGTGCACAGCGCAGGTGTGATTTGCGAGCACGGTTTGGGAGCCAAATCGGCTCGGCATGCTACCGTGCAGTAACTTTGAAAGCTGCCTTATAAAAGCAGTGTTTGTCATTTGAAGTATACAGAGTGGTCTTGATTAGTTGTTCATGAGATTAAGGGGCCTACTATACACGGGCTAGAAACAGTAATTTATGACATTCGAGTCCCCTGCCAGTAGTCCCCATCAAACGCACTTAACCCAGACACTACCGAATTTGTAGGTTTACTTGAATCTCTCAGGAGTTCAGGCAATGCTCTGACTAAAAGATACCCAGGCGTCCCTCGGAAAAACCGAGGTTGAAAGCAAAGAATCCACTGACTACTGAGACGCCCACGGTTTTACTGCAAATGTTGAAACTACACTAAGAGCACGATCTGAACTTTATACCAGAACGAGTCATACAAAGGGGCGGCCAACGAGGGCGTCCTTCAGCACCTCAGAAACATAATGACTTACCAGATCCGTTGCTACTTTGCCGTCGATCAGCCTCCTGGTTGCCGCCCACCTTCATGTCCGAGAACTTCGCAGCTATACCGTGTGTGTACTTTTGGGTGTTGTTATTATTGTGGCTGGTGGAAGCGGTGCTCGGCCGTGAGGTTGTCGATGGCAGCCTCGATGTTACAGAAAGGGGGGCTGAGGATGCAACAGTGGAGGACGTCCGAGGAGTGGCACGAGTGGTGGGTGGGAAAGGATCCTGTTTAGGAGTAACTAGGGAGACTAAATTGGCCGATCTAGCAGCAGCAGCGCCCGCCGGAAGACCGGAAGAGTTCGCACTGCCGCTGCCGCCACCGCCGCTAGAACCCGTCTCGAGGCGGGTTCTTTTCGCTGACGAAGAGGAGGCGGAGAGGGAATTCAGACCAGATCCACGATGAGGATTAGGCATGAGGGACTTATACCCGGTGCTAGATGGGGATTTTTGAGAACCACCGCCGCCAATAGCAGCCTGTCCTAGAAGAGGAGGGACTCCGCTATTGAGGACATTCATGGCGGGTATGAGGCCAGTAAGGTTGGCAGCTGCTGCGGCAGCAGCTGCAGCCGCAGCCGGATACTGCGAGGCTGCCAGGGACAGAGAAGGCGCGGTGTTATTTGAAAAGCCCAGGTGCGAGAATTGCCCACCAACAGCGGCTAAAGCCTGGGCTTGCAGTGCCAGATCCAGAAAGTTCTGTGCCGATGTGCTGGGGGAAAGAAGAAAATGACAATTGACAAATAGCAGGAAAAGAAGCAAGCTTCTGATCAAAGGGCGCGACATTGAAACCGTCTTTCAGCCTGCCTACCGGCTACCTGCCGTCGGGTTCCTCTTCAAAAAAGTGAGTGACTAAATCTGCAAATGAAAACCCGACGGAAAAACTGTTGTGGATAAACGATGATACGACTGCATCTTTACTACTACAACATAGGAGCACCACATAGAAACCTATACTACGAATAAAATGTGAGGTCGTTGCATGAGAGTGGCATATCGGTGGTAATTGCGCTTTGCCTTAGAGCTCTAGCCTGGAATGGTCGCAGGTGGCCGCGTAGCGACGAGCGACCAGTAATCGAGAAGTGCTGTCGACAAAGTGGCGGAATAGAAATACACAGAAGCACTACAGTACTATGGTTACATGACTCCCGACAGCTCACTCGCCGGGACGTCTAGCTGGCTTAAGTGGCCAGGTCAGAGGGATGCTCTACCGTTCGTCATCCGCGCACTTATTATTGTCAAAAACTAAGTTGTCAAGCAACACTTCATGTAGAATAAGACTACCGATAAAGACAAGAGAGACTGGAATGGCCATTAGCCGTCGTCAGCCAGTCATACCCAAGCCTAAAGTGTGGAAACACCTGGGGCTCGATTCCGCGACCTATTCTGTAACACGACCGGTGAGCGCCCTTCTGCCAACACTTTATAATTAGTAATATAGAGTTAATAAAGTCCTATACTTGAAGATCTGAGGTTCCGATATGAAAAACAAACAGGTTACTACTCTATGCTATGCCTTCCTCTGTATAGCCGCCAAGGAAAGAGTACTTTAATCGGTGGAAAATTCGAGTCTTATGATCTAAAACCAGCTCACGGGCTGCAAAAGTAGACAAATATAGTCCATAAAAGATGATGGCGAACTCAAAGAACCGGCGTGCTGATCAACTTAGTGCAGTGGAACGAGCTTGAGACAAACTTGAGGTAACAAATTCGAGCTTATTGAAGAATGAATACGCGGGGTGAATGGGTTTGCGTAAGAGTAGCTGCGTGAAGGACAGGAGACGAACATTAGGACAAAATGTCGAGGCCTAGTGCACTGGTGATAACTTTTGGTATTTTCTGATGAAGCATGGAGATTTCACATCCACGTTACAAAATAAAATCAAATTGGAGAAATTTTGGGAGTCAGGAGAAAGAGAATTTACAAATCGTGTCCTAAGGTAGAAAGGGGGACTTCCGGAAGAAGAGGTGAAACTGCAAAAACTAAGGATCAAAATTCTGTTCAAACTGATGATCAGGAAAGGATGCAAGAGGCAGGAAAACTTGAAAACAAAGAGGGAGGTCGTACAAAATAATCAATGGAATCGAGAAACAGGTGCAAAGAAGCTTACCAAACATTCTGTGTCGCAGCTGGGCGACCGCGTTTGCGATTCTTTGGTTCTGAGGCTATGGTTACATCTGCATTCAAAAAATAAAGTTTTGAAAATCTGCAGAGAAAAAAGTGCAAAGAGTGAAAAATTGCGGGAGGAAAAGAGGTACTTCAGGACTGAAGGGAGCTTCAGGTTGGGTAGTTTAGAGGAAAAGAATAAAATCAAGTACAAAGTAGTCTGTAATTGGAAAAGTTAACTGTCTGCTAATGAGTTAACGCAGCAGTTGACTAAGTAGTTTGGATCGGCCGTTGGAAAGAGAAGTTTGAAAATCAAAGTTGCGAGCAAAATAAGCTCTTTTGCTGGAATCGCGCAACACCACAGAGGCAACCAAAGGTGAAGAGAAAAGGACAACACTGAGGCGAAAAGACTCCTTGAAAAAAGTAATATGAAACATCACGCTCCGGATTCAAGTAGTTTTGAAAAGACAAGTGAGCAAGCATCAACCGAATAGATTAGGGGGGTTTTTAAAAAAATGAGTAGCTTCTAAGTGCGAAAAACAGGTGACACTCAGGACAAGGACAAAAGTGTCACGAGTTCCCGCCTATCGGCTCTAGCTAGAGATTGGGTAAATAAAGTAGAAGCCGGAAGTACAAAAGATGAGCCCCCGTCCGGCGGCCAAAAAGGAAGCTGAATCCCATCAACGCACATACAAGCCTGAGTCAAATACACTTAAGGAATCGGAAAAGGCAGGAAATCCGTCTTATCAAGATTACCGAGTTTCATTCCGTAATATGTGTTCATGTCCTCTGCTTTGACGGCAGCTCTAGCATGTGCTTCATTGGCATACTGGATAAACGCGTATCCTTTATGGACGGATATCCCAATAATTGCACCGAATTTCGAAAATATAGCCTCCAACTGAGGTTTTTGCATATGCAATGTATTTAGGTTGCCCACAAAAACACGGGATCTAAGGCTATTAGGATCGGTCCTGTTCGTTATGTTAGAAACCCCTATCATCTTGAAAGCCGAGTACGGTTGAAGTGGGCGGCAAGAAGCGAAACAAACAAACACAGATTTCTTTTTTCTGATAGAATTCCGATGCGACTTCGATACAGGCTACTAAGGCAGTAGGGAGATCGGCCTTCTAGACGATACAGGAGGCCTTTTCTATAAAGGTGAATAATTAACTTCCGCATTGAACAGCCAAGGTAGAACTCATCAATTAATTCACGATGGTCAAATCTTGTGGCGTTCGTCCCGAAAATGTTGCGAAGTCATCCTCGACAGAGAGTCTTAAAGTGAAACTTGACACACTCAATCTCTAAAATGAGTCTGTGGGATGACGAAGTAAGCCCTTAACACTGAGTGTTCTCACAGAAGAAACGAACGTTCACGATACCTAGCAAGTAACGGAGGAGGCCAGTGAAATGGCGTCTGCGACAGCGCAGTAATGCTCACAACAATGACAAACGCAGTCAGAAATTCAGCTGGCGCAAAATTAGTGTTTGTATACAAATGCTGTTCCTGGATGCTATTAGCAGTAACTGAAATCCGGCTGTCCGGTAATATTAACGATAGCGAAATAGCTCAACTGAGTAAAAGATACATCGGAGGGACACGGAACACCGTCGGGCACTTGAAGCGGATTTTTGATTAAGTTCTTTCTAAAAGTCGCTTCTTATGGCCAGGTATAATTTTTTCCTGTCTTAATGGGCAGTCTGTTAAATTAGCTACATTCTGCGAGGGGTTTCCTTATTGACGTCATGTCAGACTGTCTCTTTCTAGCTGCTGCGGTAAATTCACAGTAGTATTCGTTGTTTCGTGTTTTTTGTTGTAAGTTAGCAACGTTTGAATCCTTGGACGAGAGCTGACGGTCTCCTCGCCAACTCGGAAGGCTAAAGTCCTGGCCGTAGACACTGCGGGTGCCAACGAGGGTTAACCCTCGCTATCTTCTCCAGATATAGCTTAATCGAAAATCCCGTTAGTCCACATAGACCCTTTGACCCCTTAGTCGCTCCAATATACGCTTCTGCTAATCGTAACAGAACATTATCCGACGAAATACCAGATCATTTGATATTTGGCGATAAAAACAGCGCATCGGAGAAAGCTATTGAACAGGCGTTTAAACTTATTGGGGTGATAAACTCCAAAGCTGTGGAGAGGATAAAACGCAAGCGTAATCGTATACTGCGTGGTATACTAAATCGTATCTCTGGCATTGAGGGTGCGAATTTGGTTCTGCAAAGTAGTAACTTAGATTTCGGTGACGCACAAGCTAAACGAATACGCTCACGCAACCGTAATGCGTCGATACTAGTTACTCTCTCCTCCTAAATAGAAGTCGACTTAATCTTGTCGAGGAAGGAGATAACTAGAGAATTCTTCCACAAATGACAATGTTCAGTCTCCGCGTATGTCATACCAATTCAGAGAACACATAACAGTTTTTAAATGTCAAAACCCAACATCGACATAGCGGCCCCTGTTGTCATGTTAAATAAGTCTTCTTCGAAATCGTCTACGACCTCACCACGCCATAACAGAGTTAATTCAGTAGGGAACCCAACTAATCCTCTTGCTGAGATCTTTAAGCGCTACAACACGCATCGTATGTAAGCACTTCTACCGTCTCCGTCAGTAACCTTTAGTAATCCAAAGCAATGACCTAATTCAAAGACGAGTCCGAGTGCAACTGTAGTCGATCGAACAATGGGCAAATTCAGTTGCCCTAAGCAATCTTCTGCCCGACAGTCGCCCGTCACTCCTGCGAACTCCACGGACCCGAATATAGCGTTTTCCCAACTACCCCCCAAACCTCACATCGTAGCGGATAAGTTGAATATGTCCTCATACGAATGCCCATAGTGGGTCAGTGGACTCATCCGATCCTCAGCTTTACTTCGAGTGGAATATGTTACAGTATCCTGCCTGTGGATTTCCAGTAAAAAATCAGCCAGCTAAAGATAGTAATCAATTTTCCTGCCCGTCATTTGCTCCCCCAAATCCTATTCCTCTTTATCCACGTCAGGCTATTTTAATGCTACAACGTATTTTGCAGAACCGGACACATGCATTCGGGCCCTGTGTTACGTGAGCAGTCAACCACTGGACGACATAGCTCTTACTTCCTCAGAAACAAACAGTCTTCCCCCCTAAACTTTTTGTCCTAAATGCCAGATCCTTACTAAATAAGATGCCTTTGCTTCGGACTCTAGTGTTCGTCCATTGTCCAGATATTGTCTTAGTAAATGAGACAGGACAAAAGTCTCCGTAGCTGATTCCGAACTCTGAGTCCTCTACTCTATGATATGCTTGCATTCGAAGTGATCAAGACAGCCGTGGTGGGGGCAGCTGCATGTAAGTTAAGCAGGCACCTACATTTCTGCCGCTGGACCTCCCGCATTTTTTCGTAGTAGAAGGCAGCTGTTGGTTCTAAGTTGCTTTAAAATAAGTACTCTTTACTCGCTGACTGTATCTGTCGCCTACCCATCGCCAGTGCGGATTTTGATTGTTATCTCTCACGGGCATTTCATGCTGCGGACGACTAAACTTTAAGAATCAGCTGATTGCGTGTAACTGTAATCTTCCTGAAGTCCACTGGTCTTTGTCCACCGGCCTGAAGTGTTCGAGGACTTCCTTGTGGCTGTAGATGTTGGCAAGTGGAGTTAGGTTTTCGAATTTCCCACCCGAGGATTAAGCATACCTGACCTCATTTTCTGTAGAGGTTGCATGCCTTTGTCGGTGTCATCCCAAAGTCCGCTCGGGAGCTCAGACCATGGCATAGTTGTTCGAACGTTAGAACTCGAGGCTGACAAAATGTTGTCCTCAAAGTATAGCTTCTTCGTCGATTTCCGATAAGCCCGGTCGACCGAATCAATAACACACCTTAATTTCTACGATTGGACTGGTTTCATCCTTAGTTCGGATGTACATGTTCAGTTCAGTTCAGTTCAGTTCTTGAGGGAAATAGGCGTAAGCCTTTGAGTACCCTATTTGCAACGTAAAAAATGTGTGATGTACAGATAGATGTTCTGGGCTGAAATAGTTCGAACACGCCCATAATGGTGGGACAAAATGAGAAGGAGTTACGGGGGGTGAGCTCGACTTCTCATCGCTCTTGGTCATTTCGGAACAAAAATATGTCCAGATTCTTCTTAAAACTTTGTATAGATGGTGACATCACAACATCTGCGGGAAGCTCATTCCATGGTTTGACCACCCGAACCGAGAAGGAGAACTTCCGCACATCCAGCCGTGCCTGCTGAGTGCGCAGTTTTAACGGGCGACCTCGGAGGTTGGTCGTGGTAGCAAATTCAAAAAAGTCCTCGAAGGTCAGACTGCAATCCAACCCCTTTACAATGCGGAAGGCTTGCAAGAGATCTCCGCGAATTTGCCTGTAACTCAAAGGAAGGAGGTTTAGGTTTACTAGGCGGGTTGCATAAGGAAAGGAGATTTGACCCCTAACCATCTTCATGGCTCTCCTCTGGACTCTTTCGAGGCAGTTTTAATCCACAACAGCCCGCGGCCTCCAAGCTTGTATGCCGTACTCTAAATGCGGCCGGACGAATGTTCCGAATGTTTTAGAGAAAGCTTCTTCGGCAAAGTCCATAAACGCAAGCTTGATGGCGTACAGTACGGACATTGCGGTTTTTGCCACCCACGAACAGTGGGCGGATGGTTTTAGGGAACTCGTCATGTTTGCATTGCTAAACTGTACAAAAATTTGAATCCCCTTATTTCTTTTTCTGTCCCCCGTAAGAAAATAATTAATGCTGGAAATGAGATTTTCCTACCCTTAATCATTCGCCGCATATTGCGCAGACCTTCTCGTCGATTCCATCTTCAGAACGAGGCTTCCGTTCTGCCCTCGATTTGTGCTATTTTTGAGCGGGCAAGGAGACTGTCCTAGAAAAACAGATATCAGAAGATGTGCAGCTCACTGAAAACCGTTCGTTAAATGTCTCGAAACTCTTCTCCCAAAAAGTACGAACTCACCGGAAAACGCAGCATCCCACCCTCCGAGATGTTCTCGGGAATCCAATAGCTGATGCCCAGTTGACTACTAATAGTTTCAATGCTTTTTTATCCAAAACGTTTATTAAAAACTCAACCGCTCCCCTACCGACCATCCAAGCATTGACCGGGACAGTCCTCGAAACTATAACTTTCACACTGTGGGGCGTAACTTTAGCGCTTCGGCGTTTTCGTCACTCGCATAGCCCTGACCCCTATGCTGTCCCAGTTAGAATTCTAAAAGCGGATGCAAATGTAATTTTCCCATCCCTCTTATGCATGATATTTAATCTCGCTCTTAAAAGGGGGACCTATTCCACCTTGTGGAAGGAATCACACATTTTTCCAGTCACTATGCACAAACGAGACAATGTTTCTCCCTCCCTTCATAGACGTACTGCCAACTCCAAGCATAAGTGATATAATCTTTAAAGAACTATTATCCGAAGAAAATTAAGGGTATTGTACGAATTTTCGGCTCAGTTCGGTTTATTGAGTGAAATAGGCATGAGCCCTTTAGTACCCTATTTGCAGCGTAAAAGTGTGTGGTGAGCAGAAAAAATTCATGGGCTAAAATAGTTTAAACGAGCCCATAATGGTATGTCAAAATGGGAGTGAGTTACAGGACATGAGCTGGATCACTCGTCACTTTTGGTCATTTCGGAATATGAATAGGTCGAGGTTCCTTTTAAAGCTTTGCATAGAGGGTGACATAGTAACGTCTGCAGGAACTGCATTCCATGCTTTGACAACTCGACCAGAGAAGGAGAACTTCCGAACGTCCAGCCTTGCCTGATGAGTACGCAGTTTTTACGGGTGACCTCGGAGGTTGGTCGTGGTAGCAAATTCAAAAAAGTCCTCGAAGGCCAGGCTGTAATCCAACCCTTTTACAATGCAGAATGCTTGCAAGAGAT